AAGAGACAGAGATCGAGAGAGAGACAGAGAAAGAGATCGTGATCGCGAGAGAGATCGCGAGCGAGATCGAGACCGTGACTTATTGCCCAGATATCGATCGCCAGTCAGATCACCTCCCAGGTATGCGTTCGATAAAAAATATTCTTATCTATATTATCTTAGAAAAGACACACTTTTTAAAATGCGTTTAGAGTGTATTAATATATCGCGAATGACTTAAATTTTTAGATTTCAAAGAGAAAGGGATCGCGAGAGAGATAGGCCGCGATCACGCGAGCCAAGAGATGGATACGGTACTTACTATGGCGATTCACCGGCTCACGATTATCAATTCCGTGATCGTGAGCGGGATTTACCGCCTAGGGAGAGGCCGTTGCCGAGATATCCCATAAGGAACCAGCCGTCCCAACACAATATACCGCCGTTGATGCCGCATCTAGTCACTGGAGGTCATCCACCACCGCCACTTATGTCATTGGGACCTCCGCCTACGGACAGGAAAGACTATTATGATTCCTACAACAGGTATTTTCGCCTCAATAGTATTTTCATTCATGTACACGCTAAGCAGACAATCTATCGATATATTTATACCACTAGTTTAGTTAAGCATAAAGACTCTGGAATAATGACTGATAAATTATATAAAAGCGACATAGTACAAAGATTTTATTGTCTTGTTAGCGAGAAATTTGTGCGCACCAAAATGACTCTAGAAGTCATTTTAACTTTGCATATATAAGTAAAATAATCATTGCATAAATTTGACAATAAGCATTCTCCACAATTCCAACCAGTTTCCATCATTCTATAATTTCTATCTTACAAATTTGTAGGTTAAAAAGAAAGAACATTTTGCTATGAAAATAGTGTACTGCTACATACATAAAACCAATCAAATTCCTATGACACTATATATATATATATAAATTTAAAAATTAAAATTGCGAATAATAAATAATCGATTAATTTTTTTTCTCATTTTTTTCTTCACATTCGTAATTTCATTATTTTTGTCCATTCTTCTCAAGTAAGCGAATTTTAGGCTCATAAATATGAGAAGTAATTGGAAAAAAAATATTGAACCACAAATATATATAATATACAAGTAAAAATATATATGTATATATGGAATTTTAATTATATATTAAATTTATGCAATTGATATTTACTGTAGCAATATTTTAGTTTTTGCAAGGGTGATAATTTGGAAATTGTATGCTGTGAGATTGTTGTGTCGATGATTAACTCGTATCTCACGATATCCGATTGTATTTACCCAAGAATCGAGATATGTATATCTCTTTTATAAACTTGTGTTTTATCTGTGAAGATCGAAGAAAAGACGGAATTAGAAAAATTGCGCTTTTAAAGCTGCATATTTAATAAGATTTTACATCTGAAAAGTAACTTGAATTTTACAAGTTAACATCGAAACTTGTTTTCAAAGATTACTTCGAATAATACTCGAATAATACTCGAATAATACTCGAATAATACTCGAATAATATTTGTCGTAATATGAATAAATTTTATATATATATATATATATATATATATATATACAGGGTGGATCTTAAATATATATTTTAAAACTACGTGAGCGTGTTCCTGGAAAAAAAGTATGAACAAATGTTCCTATGAACTTTAGGCCGAAAATGCTTCGATATCGAAATAACGGACATAAATAGATTTCACAATGACTGAGTTTCAGATCAGATTCTTTCATTCCACGATATTATGTCTCTAGTATTTTTTTCTAGGATAATATTTAATTACCACACTACTACGATCCATTGAGAGAAAGGGAAAGGGGGTTTTAATGTAGCCCTCTGTACTTGAATACAGTAAGAGACAACCTACAAACAAGTTAACATGCTTGAGGCAGTTCAACCGAGCAGTATTAGTATTGATTCATTAATTTACTGTAACAGTATAGAGAATGTTTTTATTTGAAGAAATGAGTGATATTTATCTCACGTATGGTGAAATGTAATATCTATTTGTATTCATTATTTCGATAACGAAGCATTTTCGGTTTAATATTCATAAGAACATTTGTTCATACTTTTTATTCAGGAATATGCTCACGAAGTTTTAAAACATATTTATGACTCACTCTGAATAATATAAATTATATATACATACATACATACATACATATGCACACACACCCATATATATATATATATATATATTCG